CAATCGCACAAAATAACACAGTCAGGGTATGCAGTTCACATGGAAGAATCATATAACAATATGAAGTACCTATTGACATGCATAAAATACGATCAGCACCAATGGCATATTTGTGGCGATTTGAAAGTTGTTGCACTTTTACTTGGGCTGCAGCTAGGCTACACAAAATTTTGCTGTTTTTTGTGTGAATGGGACAGTCGGGCAAAGGCACTTCATTACACCAGACAAAACTGGCCTGTTCGTCAATTCCTAGAGCCAGGTAAAAAAATGTACAGCATATGCCATTAGTAGATTCGAAAAAAAATTTATTACCACCACTGCATATCAAGTTGGGCCTAATGAAAAACTTTGTCAAGGCATTAGATAGAGATGGGTCAGCTTTTCAATACCTGCGTCAGAAATTTCCAAGACTAAGTGAGGCAAAGGTTAAAGAAGGTATTTTTGTTGGGCCACAGATTCGAAATATTTTGAAAGATATACAGTTTGAAAACACTTTAACAGGTATTGAAAAAACTGCTTGGAATGATTTCCGTCTGGTGGTCACTAATTTCTTGGGAAATAGAAAAGCTGACAACTATAAAACCCTTGTCAAAAATATGCTGTCATCGTATCAAAAGATGGGCTGTAATATGTCTCTTGAGATACATTTCCTACACTCACACCTGGACTTTTTTCCTGACAATTGCGGAGCCGTAAGTGATGAGCACGGCGAACGTTTTCATCAGGATATTTCAACAATGGAAAAAAGGTACCAGGGAAAGTGGAATCCTTCCATGCTTGCAGACTACTGTTGGACTCTTGGTAGAGATGCTCCAGAAACGATCCATAAAATAACAGCAAAAAGACAGCGCATATAGTGATTCTTATAAGTATATGAATCTTGTTACTTTTTTTCATATATCCTTAAAAATAAAAAGTTTTTTTTCTAAACCGCAACTAATTTTTTTATTTCATTCTCATTTTTGGATTCAGCGCCCCAAAATTAACAAAGATGTGCACTTTTCCCACAAGATACAATTAAAAAACTAAAATTTGTTGTCCAGTGATTAATGCGTGTTCTAATATCACGACGATGAACGTAAAATACAGATATTTATTTTTCTATGTATTGTTGAAACTCAGGTTTATAACAATTTCTGTAGGATTTCTATTAAATCTTTTTTTTTGAGAAATCAACTTCTTTCGAAACAGTGCATATATGATTAAAATTGGTCGGATAAGTTGCGAAACACCCTGTTATCTCCCTTATTACTACAGGGTAGGTGCACGCTGCATGTAGCAAACGTTAATTCATAATATTGTCATGAACTTAATATACTATAAACTCATTTTAGGCAAAAATTGAGTTAAACTACTCTGGTTCTGAGGTACAGAATAAGTTGAATCTAACTTTGTGTGTCGAGCTCGCAAGGTCATAGAAATCCGCTCAAAACTCAACACAATCTTCAGGGACCTGCATTGTTGCTTATATTAGATATTCAGTATCACAAACAGACCTGCGGATGCCATTCGGGAACACGGGAATAGCCTAGGCTGCATCCAGAATGCTTACCCACAATCACAAACGCTCCTCTGCCATGTCACGGGCCAAATTTATGGAGGTTAGGAAGAGTCGGGATAGATTTATATAAATAGAAGATGACGTGGCACCCGCAAAGAAGTCGCGTAATGCAAAACGACGTAAAAAGTGGGAAACACGTCATTCCTGATACGAACCACTCTTTTGAATACAAATAGGGGCATCTCTAGCTCGACAATGCTCTACCATGAGAAAACTAAAACAAAAGAATTTATTTGAAGTAAATGCATTTTAAAATTTCCTTATAAAACGGATGTACAGGGTGTTGACGTAAGAAAACAATCTCTACAGAGAGCGATGGAAAGATTCATCAATATTGCGAGAGATAATTAACTTATGCTAAGGCAACGATATCAACTTTAACAAAGAAGGTAGCGACTTGAGCGGGTTGGGCATAGCGAAAGATGCTGAGCGCAGACTGTGGATGGAGGGATACGAAACGTTATGTGTACAGTATATTCAGATAAGAGATAGACCGGATGTAAACAAAAGGTTCGGGTGATTTTCACGCTAACGCCGCCGTCTCGACGTAAAACAGGAGCCCTCATTGGTCAATTCGCAATTAAATGCCTATGCCGAGCGGCAGAGCAGTCGTATCAAGGCAGAGTCACATTCAGGTTCAGACGTGTTACGTATGTCGTGTGCATCATTGCAATTTGATATTTCTTTGGACGTTTTCGTTTGTTATCTTATTAAGTGGTTGAGTTTGTCGTTGTTATTGTTATACCTTGTTATTGATTGTTATTGTTATCAACTGCTTGCGCAAAATGCCCAGTAGTACAGATACTGCCGATGAAGTTGTAAACTCCTGTAGTCCACCTAGGAAACGCTCTAAAAAAAGACACCTGAGTGCAGAAATGAAAGAGGTCATTTTGAATATACGTATATATAAGATCGAGCGCGAGGAGAACGAGGCATCAACCATCAAAGAAATTGTTGTGAAGGTTTCTCACAAAGTTGGGGTGTGTCGCGCATCAGTGTTTAATGTCTTAAGACAATACAAAAAAAATCACACCTTTTCTGAGCCAATGACCAGTAAACATCGCAAAAGTATTGTTAAATCATTGGATGAAGCTGATAAGCATGCGATTAGGAGGAAAGTGCATGAATTCTTCTTTAGGAATGAAATACCTACTATAGATAAAGTACTGCAGGAGGTAAATGGAGATACAACGTTGCCAAATTTCAAACGATCAACTTTCCATGCGTTACTGAAGCATTTAAATTTCAAATGGAAAAAACGGGGTCGTAATAGTTTACTACTGGATAGAGAAGAAATTGTGCTATAGAGGAGGGATTATTTAACAAAAATTGGGAAATATAGAAATCAAAACAGGAAGATTTATTACCTTGATGAAACGTGGGTAAACGCAGGACACACTACAAGTAAAGTATGGGTTGATGATTCTGTAACTTCATCCAGGAGGGCCTTTCTAGATGGACTGTCCACCGGATTAAAAAATCTAGCAGGTAAATACGAGTAATAGACAACAATCGGATGTTTTTCAAACCTTGGGAACAAGGTTCTAAACATTAATTCCAGGGGGCAGATAAAACATATTACAAGTAACAAAACTTTTATAACGTTCGATAAAATGCGTGGATGTTTTATTGTCATTTTCATTTGTTAGAACTTTTTTAAGCCATGTTTTTATGTGTTTTCGATATTTCAATAACTTTTTAATATAATCTTAAAATATGTCGAATATTATAAACTTAAAAAAAGTCACTAAGTTTTATATTGTGTACTGTTCCTAATATTTCTAATCATTTTAATTCATACTTTAAGCTTTATAAAGTTACAATTTGTTAATATTAATATTTGCGCGTATTTCAGGTTCCTGATCATTCATTTTTTAAAGGTTTATAACTTTAAATTAAATTGTGAAGCGCTGAGTAATCATACGACGTTCAATATTCTTTCTTTCAATATGACTAAATAATCCCAGTTATAGCAATCTGATACTGATGTCTCAATGTTTTTTCGCTGAATGTGATGAAAACATTTGAAAAAGGTTCGCTTATTGAAATAAATCTACACCAGTTAGTACTTCGATTTCCAGGTAAAGGGAAAAGGCTCATTATCTGCCATACTGGCAGTGAGGATGGATTTGTTGTTGACGGTCTGTGGTGCTTTGAGTCTAAGAAAACTGGAGATTACCACGAGGAAATGAATGGCGAATCGTTTGAACAGTGGTTTTCAAAAATTTTACCGAACTTAGAGGAAAACGCAGTAATTGTGTTGGATAGTGCGCCTTATCATTCTCGAAGAATGGAGAAGGTCCCAACAACGGCTTCAAGGAAAGTTGATGTTCAAAATTGGCTCCGCTCGAAAAATATCAACTTTGAAGAAGCAATGCTGAAAGTACAATTATTAAGAATTGTCAAGGATCACAAGGCGGAATATCAAAAATACGCCATTGACGAAATGGCAGCAAGTCAAAATAAAACTGTGCTCCGTTTACCTCCATACCATTGCGAGCTCAATCAAATTGATCTCATATGGGCAGAGGTTAAAAATTATATAGCTAAGCACAATACAACTTTTAAATTTTGTGACCTCAAAGGACTTTTCAAAGAAACACTAGAATTAATAACAGCGCAAAAATGGGAAAACTGTATTAAGCACGTGAAAGATATACGATTATTTTTAATTTAGGCTAATTTAAACGCCATTTTGAGATTGTATTCGACTGTATTTCACCAAACATCAGGCGGCATCCGAAGCTGGAAATCGAAGCGAAAATTTTGAAACCCTTATGTATATTTACATCATTATATATTTCTTACCCCACCCCCACATGATCCTATATCCATCACCAATCGTATACACATCGAATTGTGCTAATTTACTACAAAGTTACGCAAAGCAGCATCTACTATCTAAAATATGTACTGCGTGACTCTTAATACGTCCCTGCCGAATGTTACAGCGTTCGATGATCACGTGGTCTTGTTTATGTCCGGTCTATCTCTTATCTGAATATACTGTAGATGCCCTGAAATTTCCAGAGTTAAGTGTCAAATACTTGGAGGTGCCTTAGCATTAACTTTGTGGCAAAATTTCCTCGAAATCAGAGAAGGGCTATCCGAGCTATGAGGGGCTAAGAATTAGCGGACGGACAGACTGACGGATGTGAATGCCATAGTTGTTTGTTTTTCGATAGTAGGGTACCTTGGACAAACAAACATATTGTGTCGTGACGTTCAGTATAGAGCAGTATAATACATTATAGTAAAGCCGCTTATGCAAGTTATTTCCAAAAACATTTTGAATGAGGATAAGTCTCGCGAAAATAACCTCGACGACAAACTTTACTGCGCCTGCGCGATGTCACCGTTAGGCTGTTAAAATGATATTGTGCAGTCGCATTAAAGTTCGGATCTGGTGCAAAACCATCCTACTGCTTTTGGAACACACCTGTTGATCGAATTTGAAGTGACAATTGACGTACACCATCTACAAATAGAAAACGTTTAAATTAAATTCACTGCAAAACTGAGCAACCATAAAATGCGACCGTTTCAGTTAACAAAATAAAGATAGAGTCCTAAAAATATGCTTAATGAAGTATCGCGGATGACTATATTTCTGAAAATTAAAACTTTCTAAATCATGCACATTTTTTATCTTTAACGCCGCTGAACTTAAACTTATCATCCTCAATACTGTGTATCTTGCCCATATTTCAGGAACGATTTGCGGTATGAAAGCATTTTGAAATATTTTGTTGGCCATAGTCTTGTCAAAAACCTTTCGGGTATCTAATTTTTTCCTGTGAAAAAAATGAAAAAACACAATGCAAAGTAATATTTTTTTAACAAGAAACATTCGTGCAGGTGCAAAAATTCTCGTCGTCGACTCGGATTTTTGTTGCCACCGGCACTCATGCTTCCTTTTAAAATATTATTTAGCAACTTGTTTTTTCGATATTTTTTAGGAAAAAATAGATGCCCTTATGATACTACTTATGATTAAATCATATTTTCATGAAACTCAATTATCTTTATGAAAATAATTATGAAGTCTGTTAATATGAAATAACCGTTTCTGGACATTTGTTAAACGAAATTCAAAGGTATGAACCCGGAAGCCTTTTTCTCAGTTTCAGCTTTACTGCAGATATCTCCTCTGTGCTTAGCACCGCGGTGTAGTCGGAGTACCTCCGAAGAACGCTGGACATTGAAAACTTCAATTCAAAGCCAACGTTCACTCACTGATTGACAGCAAGCATAAACGGTAACCAATCCCACATTGAACTTTCTATATAGTGGACATCCTGTACATGGCATACAATAGATTCGTGGTCATTGTCATCAGTTCGAGTACCTAGGCGAGGCGTAATTTTCTTTCTAACCAGCACGCGTTTGGAATACATTTAAAGGCATGAAGGTGATGACTTATAGTTAGTTTCAATGTACCAGGCAATATTTTTTCTATGGAATGCACTGCTACAGACACGCTGAAAGACTAGCTATTTATAAAGTTACTTCAACTTCCTCTATAAATTACAAAAGATGCAGTTATCGTGGTGTATGCGAGCATACATTCCGTTTAATTATGGTGATGGAATGATGAATGGTCACTGGGATACAGCTTGTTTGCTCATTTGGAATCATCGCAAATTTTAATGAATACAGATAATTAGCTTTCAGCAATTGTAAGGATAATGTGGGAAGGCGAAGAAGGACTACCTTCGATCGCTTTCCTGACCCTTGACATTTACATTGAAAATAACAGTACGATTAGCATTAAAACTTGATGTCCAACCTGCTAAACTTTCTTGTTGCAATACTGATCCGGTCTCTTTCATTAATCAAATTCCATCATATCAGTGTAGACAATTCCATTTGTGTATATTTTGATGTTGCAGAGTATGAAGACTATTACTCCCTATGCCAAATCGGGCGAGGAAGTATTGTAATCCCGAAAAATTTCGAAATTGACATAATGAAAAGCCATGTCAATCATTTCAGTCAGTTTGTCTGTCCGTTGGTCTGTCCGCTAATCATATAACTGCCTATACCTCGAGAATTACTGCTCGGTTTTTGATGAAATTTTTAGACGCGGCTACTACTATGCCAATGATGAAAAAGCTTTGTAGGAGTTGAAATTTGGGGTTTGGGGGTTGCAGAGAATGGTATATGCATTTTTTTTATCTTATATATATCTATATGCTCCCAGCCCTGGTAATTTTGTGCACCTATTAGCCATATTTCACAGATCATGGATTTATTTATGCGTACATTTTCCTTTACTTAGCATAACAGAGTCTGGCTTATATACGTGTTCGTGCCGAAGCCCAAAAAACATACGGAGCTTACACGAACCGAATTGTAACTCGCGGTAGAGATACGCGCAGATGAGGAAAGGGACAACGTCGCCACATGGTTCGTAATTACGTAGGTAGAATGCCTAAGGACCAAATGTATGGGCCCGTTTGACTGACTTAGTAGATTTAATTTCTTTAAAGTGAAGGTGGAATGTTTCATTTCAACTATCTATTTCTGTTCAAGAGTCACAGCGTGATACGTTTGTCTAGGCATATTATCATGTTTGGGCCTGTTTACCTCCAGTTCCCCTTGTATCCAGACATCCAATGATTGTGGAAAAACAAAACAAACTACACATCAGGCTTTTGTTCAGATTTTTGAAAGAAAGCAAGCAATGAGAAGAGAAGGCAAAGAAATGTAGTTCAAAAGTACCATAATTCGCTGAGATTCGGCTATGTATGCCTATATCCTGAACCTAAAGCTAATCTTACCGTTGAGCGGCAACCGTTTTGGGACGATTAAGGCCCAAAAATCCAATTTTTATAATGTACAATCAAGTAACAAAGGTAAGTACCGGCATCGTGTCTAAGGATTATCCTAGAATCTTGATTATGAGAAAGTAGGAAAGCCAGCTCAACCACATTGAACAATGTGAAAAGAATTTAAATGAAACAGATGCTGTATCTCTAGTCACAAGTCACGACTTACTGCGACTAGGTTTTTTTTTGTTTAGAGTCCGCTTTACTGAAGACAAGAGGTTCATGTGTCGGCAAAGAAGGTGCGGCAGCGCGGGCTATTTTTCACACCACAAAAACAAAAGCCAGTTTCGAAACGGTTCATTCACCATGCAATAATCCAGTCATTTTTCATTTTTATCGTACAAGGTGTCTCAAGGTAGTGTTTAATGGAGCTTAGAAGTACTGGTACAGCTTAAAAAAAGCATACGCCAATTTCCGAAACATGGGCCAAACTGTTAAATGGTAATTTTAGTTCCCACGTTACCGGCGAGGAAGTATTGGAATCGCGAAAAATTTACAAAATGAGATATTATGTTTTTGGATGTATGAATATCATAAAAAACTACGTAGTGTCTCTCTGTCCGATAATCCTTGGCCCCTCTATAACTACTATGCCAAGTACAAAAAGCTTTGTAGTTTGCTGCAGATCTTAAGGCAAAAACCGATGAAATAAACATCGCTAAAACTCCTATTTTTTGAAGTTTCGGATCATTATCAGAAACATTTTTGTACGAGGTTGAAAATTGCGGGTTGGGAGTTTTAGCGTTGTAGTGTGTATGTGATTGTAATGTGGCATCTTCGGAATCAGTAAAAAAAGTTTTATTATTCAGCAGTTTGTGATCGCAGTAGTATCCCACCTATACGACATAGTATCACACATATTTCGTATAATATCTACATATGTGAGATTCCAGAAACACCTATCCAAGAGCACGCAATATCCTTTACCTGCGGTGGGTCCGATCTAAATTAAGCAAGGCTGACGGTGCCCTACCCACAACGTTATTGAGATTGTCGATGATGATCGGCGTTGTAATGATATCAGGGCGTAGAGAGTTGTTCAAGAATCCTCAAAGTCCATTTGTTCAAAATTGATTGGGAAATACAGAGTCAATTTACTTGAGGCCGTTTTTTTTTAAATATTAAAACTAACTAATTTCCTGACGGTTTTCGAATAGCCGCTACGTTCAGAAATGCAAGACGATCAAAGTTATGACCAACGTTTTTATTGGCAAAAGTTACAAGGAAAGCTTCTTCTGAATATATAAAAAGGTGTTCAAATGACTACTACCAAATGAAATGAACGGCTTCTCATAGACAATTTTAAATACATCAGAGTTTTATCCAGGAATTATTAAATATTCTAGATCTTCCACATTCTCTACTAGAATGGTAAACTAATGAATTCAAATTTTCACATTTATCCAAGGTCCATAACCGAGATTCATGGTTGCATGGAAATGTGGGAAAGGAGCATATTGAATAATAAACTCTATGCGCATTATCAAAAACAATTCCAGTAACATTCAATATAAGTAATGTTAGATAGAAGTCATAACGCGTTGTAAGAGATAAATGAAATTATACACACTTGTATGCGACATACATGTGTTTATTTTACTTATACTAATACATACTAATAAACTTTAATAACCTAAAAATTTTTCGCCAGCTACGATGGCATTAATGTCACATACGATTAAAAAAAGGTAATCAAAAAGAAAAAAGCAACGCATTATTTTAGACAAAAACATGTCCAGATGAAAAAGGCGTGTTCAATGAGAAGCTTGACACTCAGACTCACTAACAGTTTTTTAATGTTAGGAGTATAATTTGATACCGCCGTTCGAATACAATTATCCAGATGTTCATCTGTAAGTCGATTACGGTATTCGTTTTTAATAAACTTCATATTTGGAAAAAATATTCACACAAATAGGTTGAACTAAAAAAATGATTTTAAAGTAATTCTGAAACGCAATAACTTCCATTTCTGTCGCAGCGATATAGTCGCTAAAATTCTGCGTGGCAATAGTTGCAAACTGTTGGATATCAATTTCCAACAACAAACTGCGTCACTATAGCAATTTCTGTCTACTGTCATATGGTTCTAATGGACTTTGAGATATATTTTCTGAAAGAACGGGAAAATGCCTGGTATTGCCATCGATTAAGTTTTGTTCCCAAAACTCAAGCTTTTTGATAAATGCTTCTATATCAGAAATCATCTCTGCTAGTTCTTGGTCTCTCCTCTAAAGCTGCAAATTAAGCTCATTAAATTTTTCTGTAATATCCATAAGAAAACCAAAATCTAAAAGCCAGATTAAATTTTCCAGTTCCGGAATCGGTTCATCACGTTGTTTGAAAAATTGAACTACGGTAGATATATCATTAAAACGTTTCAGCACTAGTCCTCTACTTAACCGTCTGACTTCAGAGTGAAGAAGTAGTTCCCCGAATTGACAGTCAATTACATCGGCCAAGGTTTTAAATAATATTCTCTGTAACGCTTGAGCTCTAATATTGTTCACAATTTTTACTACCAATTTCATAACGTTGCTTAGTTTTTGAAAATGTCCACATAACGCTTGCTGATGGATAATGCAGTGGTAACAGAGAAATTGCGGAAAACTTTCATCTCTATGGCATAACCCCACGAGACCCTCAT